ATGGTGATACATCAAACTTGTATGGATCAACATTTTCAAAAAGATATGTTTCAAATGATCATGTCTCAGGAATATGAGAGACCCGAGATGTTTCCATTAATATCCCATGTCACTTTATCTTGAATTCTTATTCCCCGAGCACTCGAGGAAAAATTCAAAATTCTACGAGAAGAAAGAAATGAGTTAAAATGGAATCTTCGATCTTGCGTACTTCAATGTATTCTTTCGTACTATTGGTAAACGTCAATAATTGATAATATGTATATATTTGATATTAAAGATTGTTTCGAGTGGCGAACGAACGAGGAGATGGTTTTTATTTAAATGACGAGCTTTGGTCGCGTCTCTACATTCTTTTCCTGTTTTTTTTTTGTTTCTTTTGACGTCAGTACGATTAAGTCTTTGAGAATAATTTCGTTATAATATTATCGTTGGTCTTCTTCCATTGTAATTAGAATTTTACTTTGAATATTATTATGCATACAGGGTGTCCTAAAAATTACTATTACGAAAAAAAAAATAAAACTACACACAAAATATTAACAAACCCTGATATAACTTTGCATAACGAAATCGTAAAAATCGTGTAGATAGTAAATAAATAATTGTTTAGTTCGATAAATCTACTTTTGAAACTGCTTATTACTTATGCGTACGTAAGGTACATAGTTGTGTATGCGTGTGTAGGTGTACTTTTCTACACCCGTTTTTGTTGGGCCGTGCCTTCGGAACTTTATTAGTTTCTTAACCTACTTTCTCGACAAAAGCTTCAGTTCGTCAAAGTGCCTTTCGAACTCGTACACTCAATGTGCCCGTAGCCTAACAATGTCTTGTAAATCTTATGATTTCGTAAACGCCGTTTGAATACGGCCGACGTTTAAAGCACATGCGAATTGTTTTGAATTTTTGAAGAGTACTTCTAAAGCTACTCGATCTTTTAATATTTTACTTTTACTATTTTACTTTAACTCCCATTTCTCATTCTACTTATAGTTACTTTTATTTACTTCAAAATGTTTCTCCTCGTAGGCTAAATGTTTCCATTATTTTATTAACATTTAAAATATACCACGTATGAATTTATATAATATTTTTCATTTAATCTTTTAGCTTACAATTAGATTTAAATAACGCAGAAGGGGTCAAAGTTTTGGAATCAAACTTATTTGATTGTTAAGAAAATATTTATATACAATATATATGTAATATATTACGATGTATATGTCAATAAAGTTTTTCTTTAAAATATAATATATTGCGTCGATTTTCGGTGATCGTAAATCTCTGAACGATTGAAAATCCGTTAAAAACTGTGGAACAAATGAAAAATAATAATTCGATGACTATCGGACATTTTTGTACGAAGAAGAATTCATTTTAAATCTCTGTGTATAAAATCTATCAGCTTTAAAACGATAATTCCAACGTGTAACTGGACGATTTAACGAACGATTAATATTCACAAAATGTATGGACGATCGATTGGACGATATCAGATTGACGTATTTGTTGTTTCAGAGTTTACAATTGATATGAAAGAAAACATACATGCACGTATACAGATCTGTGCAATACGAGAAAATAAAATAGTATTTTTATCTTGCTATCTCGAATTCAAATAGTACTGTGAGTTTATTTTCACAAAAAAGTACCATAACCAAGAATGAAAAAAAGAAATAATTCTACCTAGTAGTATTAACCGGTTGATGTATTTGTTTACCATGGATTATGATTTATGAAAGAAAACAAGAACAAAATTAATTGACAAAAAATGAGTTTAACAGGAAGATCAAATAGAATCTTTAACTTGATCTTGAATTCAAATTTCTCTCTCTTTCTCTCTTTTTCTATTTTTTTTCACAAAGTACTAGTTGATATCATTGAGAAGGATTCTCTTGGGGATAGAAAAAAACAAAATGAAAAATAAAAAATAAAAAAGAGGATAAAAGGAAAGATAAGAATTTATCGGTATAGTCATGTGTAGAACTAGATGAAGCGTTAAGATATCTACGAAATAAAGAAGAATATATATATGTATGTTCCATTTGAAGATTTCTTCTTTTTCCATTTTCCTCTTCCTTCTTTGTACCTTCAATTTCATTTTCTACGTTTCGACGCAATAACGAAACAACGTGGTCCTCTAGTTTCGCGATTTCTCGAAGGTAACGTTAAGTGTAGCCTCTTCTAGGAATATCGTTAAAACTGAAGAAAGGTGCTTACTTAGAAAGAGAGAGAGAGAGAGAGAGAAAAAGGAAAGAAGGAAGGAAAGAAAGTGGTAGATGTCGAGACAGTTTTCACACTGAGAAACCATTTCTTGGGTTGTCTCCTGAGAGAACACGATTCTTTCTTTTTATTTCTATCTTTTTCTTTTTCCCTTATACTCACAAACATTTACACACAGAGAGAGAGAGAGAGAGAGAGAGAGAGAGAGAGAGAGAGAGAGAGAGAGACATACACATATAATACTTGCTCCTACTCCTTTTCCACGTTCTCTGTTTTCATCCGACATCCAATTTCCATAGCATTAGGCTCCTTAGACACGTAAACGGGCTTCTAGGAGCATTGAAACAGCAGCCACCTGATGTCTCCAAGTTCACCCTTCTTTCTTGCTTTTTTTTTGTTAACTTTTCTTTTACTTTTCTTTTATTTTTCCTTCTGTCTCTCTCTCTCTTTTTCTTGTTCTTTATCCAGAAGCGAACAAAAGAGTCACGTTAGATGCTGCTTACCTTCTCTCACGAATCAGAGAAAACCTTTAGCTTGCAACACTTTTAGATAACGACTTTCGGCAGCCCTTTTGCTCGCTTGCTTGCTTACTTGCTACTCGTCAACGACGTTACGACTAGGGGTAGTTTCTTGAAACAACCAACCATTTCTGACCTCGTACCATCTTATCAAATGTCCTTAGGAGTTCGTTTCTACTAAAGGGGGACAAAGAATTACTACTCGAGACGGTTAACACGTTACTTTCACTATAAAAACGACCATATTCTTATGATTTAGATAGGGATTCGTATTAGTTGCTTTTTTACTTTTTTTTTTTATTATTTGTAAGGATTATATGAAACCTACGAAATTCTATTTTATTTGATTTTATCATAGCAATTACCGAAAAGTCAATTTCGCACAGATAAGAACGTTACAAATAGAATTAAAATGATGGCATCCATTGTAAAGATCACCGGGAGAATGCCGAAGCGTACACTTTGAGAATCACTGGCTTAAAAGAGAAATATCATTCTCGGTTACTTTATTTTTATACTGGAGATATAGATCTTCCTTGTTGTTACATAGTAATCCAAGTCCCATGAGATATTTTTCTAAGACCATAATTCCGATCTCAGGGCGATTCTTCGAAAACGCTTTTCCACGCGGCCCACGGCAGTTTATCTTGATTATCTTTCTTCTTGGGAACCCAAACTCTGCTTCTTCTCCTAACTTCGTTCCTTTTCTCTTTCTCTTTTTCTTTTTTTTTTCTTCTTTTTCTATTTCTTTCCTATCTTTTCCTCTATATTTTCTATTTTTTCTTTTTTCTTTTTTTAATCCTTTATCCCTTCCCTTTTCGTGATAAAACAAAGGTCGGGAATATCTTAGATGCTTAGATCAACAAATCCCCCAGGACGTTTCATTCTAACCAGCGGCCATTTTCCTCGTATGAGGAACGAGTTAAAGGAGGACGTTTTTATCGTCAGAGTAAATCTAATTGCGGATTTAAATAAGATTTATTTGCCGAGTTGTGAGAGTTCAACTTTTTTGACCTACCTACTAAAAAGGGAATGAAAGGAGGCGAAATAAACGGGACGAAGAAGAAAACGAACTTGCTCGTGGAAAAAAACTGTTCTTATCTTTTCGAACCCTTTCTTTCTTTCTTTCTTTCTTTCTTTCTTTCTGTTTTCGGCTTAAGAGATTTCTCTTTCACATTTTTTAGAAAATTTTTAATTAAATTTTACATCCCTCCCGCTTCTCCCTGTCAAAAATAATATCGTTCTCGTTCAACATGTTCGAGGATTGGATACGAAAATAGAAATGATTTTGAAATCGATCGAAATTAAGTTTATAACAACGGGAAAAAATTTAAACATAAAATGATTTTCACCGAGAGAGGTGACGTTAATTCGTTCAAGTGATAGTAACGATAATAAGTGAGCAAGTAGTTAGGGTCGGAGTTTAACGCGACCATTTTTTAAGATGCTCAAGCTTAGGCACCTAGCGATTTTCTCTTAGATTTTTTTGTTCTTTCCTTCTTTCGGTGATAAACGCGACATTAAGCTCCGAATGAAACCTCGACAAAAGCCTCGGCCTCGCTATTTTTTTTTTTATCCTCCTCGTCGTCGTATTTAGAAAAATTTCTGATTAGTTTAGATGCGGGCGGGGGAGCAAAGGGGAGGGCTTAGACTCGTCAAATCTTCTCGTTAAATCGTCTAGGACAATAATATGCAACAATATTTGTTTTCTTTTCTTTTTTTTATTTTTTCTTACTTCTTTATCACCTTCTTACTCCTCCTTATAAAACGAAGGGCAACAGGAGCGGCAGCACAATTCTCGAAAAAAGAAACACTAATTATTTTTTAACGGCCTGTTGAAAGCGTAATTACACGGATTCTAATTGCTCCACGTAATCGCTAAGATTTTTTCTCTCTCTCTCTCTCTCTCTCTCTCTTGTTTTGTATCGTTTTTTATTTTTTAATTATTATTATTTCTCTCTTTCTTTGTGCGTTTTATTTTGTGTTATTCATTGTTTTACGAAGTTGTCTTAAAGTAATTAAAGGATAGATTATAATTGCAGGGAAATCATTTTAAAAAAACGAAAATATATCAAATGATTATTAGTCTTAGGATGAAATTAATATCAATCATGCGAACAAAATAAATTGCCTACTTCGTCCTTTCTCTGATATCTTTTTTGATCGATCAATAAATCCAAATAAATATTATAAAATATCAAACGAGACAATGATAATCTTAATACTGATACTAATCGCTCGTTTCACTTTCTGTTTCAGAACTTGAAGAATCAGATCATGACGACAAACGTATGGGTGGAACAAGTAAGTTAACTATGTATTATTCTTCAAACATCGATAATGACGATGTTTATCCAACACAACATATGAAAAATATCTACATATACATTTACTTCTATTGCGATATCTTCGAGTACGAATAGAAACTATCCTGAAAATGTCAACGATTCTTAGAAAACATTTCTGAGATTTTAGGATGAATGGTTAAAGGGTAAAGGGTGGTGTTGGAGTGAAACGAATGCAAACGGGTTCAATGGCCACCAAAACGCGTATATTTCTTTCTCTTTCTCTTTCTCTTTCTCTTTCTCTTTCTCTTTCTCTCTCTCTCTCTCTCTCTCTCTCTCTCTCTCTCTCTCTCTCTCTCTCTC